CACCAGTGGATTTCTCAAAATCTTTGGAGTGAAACTGAGATACTAACTTGTCGTGCATGCTTTAAAAAAATGGGGACTTTTTAAAAACGCCATGGGACGTGGGACAAATTGTAAAAAATCATGACTGTCCCGCCAAAAGCGGGACATCTGGTCACCTTAGGCTATTATGGTTTAGATCAGGGGTAGTCAACCTTTTTATACCTACCGTCCATTTTTGTATTTCTGGTAGTATTAAAATTTTCTAACCACCCACCAGTTCCACAGTAATGGTGATTTATAAAGTAGGTAAGTAACTTTACTTTATAAAATTTATAAAGCAGAGGTCTTAAGTGTGTCAGGATCACGGCTGTCTCTTTCCACTGATGGAGTGGAAGTTGTATGTGCTCTGTGTGTGTGTGTGTCACTGCAAGGGATGAGCTTGGAAACCTTTCTCCATCCTCTACATCAGTGGTAGTCAACCTGGTCCCTACCGCCCACTAGTGGGAGTTCCAGCTTTCATGGTGGGCGGTGAGGGTTTGCTGTAACTCTGCTTTATAAATTTTATAAAGTAAAGTTACTTCCCTACTTTATAAATCACCATTACTGTGGAACTGGTGGGTGGTTATAAAATTTTAATACTACCAGAAATACAAAAGTGGGCGGTAGGTATAAAAAGGTTGACTACCCCTGTTCTAGAGGCAGCAAACCCAAAGTTTTTGGGAAAGTGGGTTGGGAAAGACTGATCTGAAATCCAGGAGTGATGACGCCAACCTCATCTCTGGGAGAAGGGTGAAGTTTCCACAATGCAAGCACCACAACAGAAAAGGCCTGCTGGTTAGAGCCTGCCAAATGCTCTTTTAAGTCATTCTGTTGGATCTGGTGGGACAGGCAGATGCCTCAGTTGTTCCTTTAGATCTGTTGTGAGGCATTTCCTTCCCTCTTCCCACCTGAGACTGAATCTCATTTTTCTTGTCACTGTGATCTGGAACTTTGATTCTGCAGCCATTTCAGAGGTGGGCTCTTACCGGTTCAGCCCGATTAGGCCGAACTGGTAGTGGTATGGCGGTCTGGGTTGCTGGGACCGGTAGGGACCTATGCCTGCCACCCCCCCAAACCAGTTCCCCTGTTGCCGCTGTCGCTGCTGCCATCTTGTTTTTGAGTTCTGGGCATGCGCAGAACAATTTTAATTGAACTGTGCATGTGCACGCAGCATGCATTCAGCATGTGCATGAAACAAGTGCGTGCATGAGTCAACCGGCAGTAAAGCCAGCCAGAACCCACCCAGTGCTTGGAGCACCTGAACTGGGCACTGTGTTACCCCTGCCACCGCCTTCTCCTCCGCCGTGCTTTTGAGAAGCCATGAGGCCTTTTTTCCCCTGCTCCCACCCCCTCCACCGCCTTTCTATTAGCCCCCACAATGGGGCCGCCATCGGGTTCCTCCTCGCCACCTCACCTTTGCCAGCGCTCCAGCACCCTTTTCCCCTCCCAAGGTCGGTCCGCACCTGCCGTCCAGCTCCCTCCCCGCAGAAAAAATAGCATCATGGCTCCTCAAAAGCATGGCGGAGGAGGAGGGGGCAGGGGTAATGCGGGGCCCAGCTCAGGTGCTCCGAGCGGAGAGGGAGGCGCTGCTGCCACAGGCGGGGGCACCGGTGGGAGCTTTGGTGGCTTCACCTCAGCCACAGCACCGGGCGGCAAATCCGGTAGTGCTGTTGGAGGAGGAGGAGGCCGCAGCAGTTATTCCGGTGGCGGGGGGGGGACTTTGAGGCTTCACTTCAGCTGCAGGGCCAGGCGCAAGTGGCTAGGACTGGCCGCCCACAAAGGACCTCCCCAGGCTTGCTTTGCTGAACACGGGACTGACAGTAGTTTGAGCGGGTGCGGCCAGTGCAAACTACCGTCAGTCACCCCATGCTCCTCAAAACAAGTCCGGCGAGGTCCTTTGCGGGCAGCCAGTTCTAGCCACCTACAAAGGACTTCCCTGCTCTTGCTTTGCTGAACATGGGGTGACTGACGATAATTTGAGTGGTGCAGCTGGCGCCTGGGAGGTCCTAGGAGACCGGCCATGCCGCGTAAGCTCCTGCCGCCATCCCCACCCCACCCCCACGCCTATGCTAACCCTAACCAGGACAGAAAATCTGAGACCCCTCAGCTTCCGGAGCCTGTGACATTAGAAATCACTGCACGGCAGTTGGAAACTGCTGCCCGGTGTTTTCTTGCCACGTATGCGGCCGTGCAGCCACGCACCTTAGAGGGAACATTGGCAGTAGTATGAATTACAGGTCCAAAAATATTAATATATGTTCTTGGTGCCACTGAATTCAGTACAAAACAGAAAAGTGTGTACACCAATATTGTCATAAGAATAACTCAGAATCATAACTGTGTACTTCTGGAAATCAAGATTTTTTACAAACCTCTGTTGCTTTTTTGCTGGAGAGATGTGGTATACATGTTTTCATTTTCTTGAACAGTCTGCAGGGTACAATAGCTAGCTCCAGAATACAAGTCAGTGTCATTCTTGCGAAAGCGGGCAATCACAGTGGGAAGAAACAACATTTCAGCAATTAACCAACAGGTAAGAAATATGGTAAATATAGGCAACCAGTAGAAGCCACAATGAATGCCCAATGCATCTTGATATCATCAAACAAAGTGACATCACCTGTTCTACCCTGTGAATGCCCCTGGTTAATAATGACCTATTTCTTGTCATTTGGGAGAAAGGTAACAGAAGAGTTTGGGTAGAACATTCTATGTCATGCATAGAAACAAGAACAAAAACTGAAAGGTTGAGGAAGCAAAGGGAAGAAACTACGAACAAAAAATAATGTATAGGAACCAGAATCCCCCAAGCAGACCTCCAAGAGATGGATATGACTGAATGGATAATATCATCATTGTATATGGTCAGATTGCTTGGGGATTGTGGTTTCTCTCTTACTTTTTTCAAATCTTCCCAAAATGTGCTTTTTTAGTCATAATTAATAGGATTTCACTGTTTGCAAGGTACATATTGGTTGAAAGTAAGGATTAAAACTTGTTTCTGTTCCCTTCATGGTTCTATGGCTGGCATCCTCAATCCCTCACAGCTTCAACCTTAAACTGTCTACTGTGGACCTCACCACATTCCTAAGAGATCCGTAAAGTGGGCGTGCTTAATCACACCAGCATGCCTACCGTCCCTTTCAGTGGTGGGTTGCTGCCGGCATTACTGCCAGTTCACAACCTGCATGCCAGACACGCTCTGCGCACATGCAGTCACTAAAATCCAAAATGGCGGTGTCCAAGCGGCAGCAAGGGAACTGTTTGGGGGGCATGACAGGCCTGGGTCGCTGCCAGTTCTGCGACCCAGGCCTGAATTCCACAACCGGTTCGGCCGAATCATGCCGAACCGGCACCAACCCACCTCTGGTTCTTATCCTACTGTCCCCATTTATTTGTATTCATTTCCTTTGTTCATGTCCATGCATATACTTATACCTGCTATCTTGTACATAAACTAATAAATAAAAATAATACTCAGGTTTTATGAGCAATCTTATAGCACAATATGATGCTTATAAGCAATGCTTTTATGGATATCTGGATGAAATTTATCTTCAGGCTGTTCAAGGATAAATTTTAGCTTCCATTTACACAATAAATCAACATGACTTCTTATGATAAGAGACTTTTATAGTCCCTTAATTAGGACCATACTGAACTTTTAGGAATATTAACAGAGACGTAGCTTCTACAGAGTGCAATAAGATTTATTATCAAAATAGGTTTCATAAGTTTACATTCTTGGTAATTCTCCTCTTGATAGACAGATAGACTAATGATAAAGTCTCCCATAAATTTCTAAATACCAAACAGAGTGGCAATATTCTTCAAACTTAAGCTGTACTTAAAAAAAAGATGTCAAAGCAATAAAAATCTTTAAAAATAAATTAAATTATTAAATTAAAGTATTAAACCCTTGGACATGTTAATGTTTCACTTACTGTTGTATTATTCCAGTTATATGTTGTTTCTCCAATGAAAGACTCAGGCAAGTTATTCATATTTGTTTGGAAAAGATTGTGATGGCAAGTCAGATGGTTTTTATAATCTCCTAAAGGGAAAAAATGGACCAGAATATGTGAGAAGGAAAGGAAATCAGAATAATCAACCAAAGACTGGAATCTGTTTTAAGCCCAGTTACCATTTTTTCTCAATCACGTGAGTAAAACACATTTGTGAGAAGCATTTTATTTTACCTATGTGGATAATGTAGGGTTAACTTAAAGAAAATTCAAATCTGGGGATAGACAGATGTTCCTTGCCCAATACATCATGATTAACAGCAAGCCAGGATCCAGATATAGGTTAATGTCTAATTTGCACAGAACTGGGGCAGATTAAGGCAGTAGGATAGGTTATTATGCAATTACTCCATTCTGTTTTTCACCATGGTTATATACTCATGTGAGCATGATTGGAAAAAGTGGGGTCTTCAAGCATTTTTCTGCAATTCTGAGCTCCCACCCCTTGGTTGGGGTTTTTAAAAAATGGACTTTTTGACATATTTGGGGAACCTGGGGGGAACCTGGGGTCAAAATGGCACCTTATAGAAACTGAAGCTTAATTCACTTCTTATACCCCTTAACACTCCTGACCCCAAGCAACGGAATCCAGACCCATTCACATAGGGCTATGTCCCTTGAGTCTATTTGTTTGTTTATTAGATGTTTAAGCTATCAGAATCATGTGGCATTGGGTAGTTTACAAGTCTATTACTAATGATTGGCTGACCAACTGTTTCTGAGTGACCACATAGATCAGGGGTGTAAAACTCGATTTCACTGAGGGCTGCATCAGGGTTGTGTTTCACCTTGGAGGGGTCAGGGGGCATGGCCAGCTTGACGTCACTTGTGTCATGGATGCCTGTAGTTGTCTGAGCACTCTGCCAGTGAAAACGGGCTCCCAAGCTGTTTTTGCCTGCAATGGCCTCCTAAAACCCTCTGCCAGCAAAAACGGAGCTCGGGAAGGAGGCCCTCTCGAGCTTCATTTTTGCTGGCAGAGGCAATGTGGGCCAGTCCTTCACTGTTTCCAAGGAAGCCCCACAGACCAGATCCAATCATCCCACAAACCAGATTTCACCCACAGGACTTGTATTTGACACCCTGACATAGATAGACCCTGTCCAGAATCCTGGCTAGGTCTTCCAATAAAGCAGCCATTTCACTGTTCATTGTTTGAACTTGCTTGTGAGGTTAACACAATCCGATTGAGCCTGATCGCTGGGAGTGAACCGTTCTACTGTGAATGGGCCATAACAAAGGAGCATTTTTGCCTTTCTATAGCATGAAGAATCAGAATCACATGTATGTTCCAATTCAGAAGATTTATTGCTCATTGCTTTATTGCCTATACACAAGTATCTGGTCAACAAACAGTCAGCCCTAAATTGACGCTAGATAGGGGTTAACATGATTAAAGTGGGGCTGAACTTGGAGCACTTGTGAACATGTAACAATTCTAGGCTGAGTTCTCTCTTGAGTCCACCTCCAGGGTCTGCCTGCTCTTCTCCTATAGTAGCCCTTTGAATCTCCTGCAGTGGGATACTTGATGTATAGAGTAAATGTCCCACATGTTTAAGTAGAGGATAATGCAAGGGCAAACATTCAGAGCTAGCAAATGTTCATACCACTCTGGAGATCGTCTGCCTATCACAAGGATATCTTTATATCTCAGGGCTGAAGTGTATGCATGCTCTTTTAATATATATAATCCATAGCTGATTATGGCAGTTTGCTGTAAATGGAGATTTGCATTATGGAATGGTTAAAGCATTAGGCTGAGAATCGTAGAGGAGTGGCACAATAAAAAGACAACAAATTGATTTTTTTTTAAAGGATTCACTGCATAATAGCTCTCTCTATACTTCCTGTTTTGCCCTTAATGTAATTTATCAAGTATTTTTATGTTGAATGTATCAGAGTTTTTAAAATTAAGGTATATTTGTGCAAACCTCTATGAATATCCATATACATTCATTCAGAAACGTAGAAACTAATTGTAATAAAACAGTGAATTGACCTTGTTGCGTTTTTACCTGGCATATAATTATTGGTGCTGTCCGAATGTTGCTGTAACACCTCCAAGGCATCTTCAAGAGCTTGTCCAAATAAGTCTTGGCCTGCAAAACTCTGCAACCATAAACATTGGTTTGCTTTGTTATGTTGCTGGGCAGTGGAAAGCAAGCAAGAGCCAGGATAATTAAATGGGATATCAGAACACAGACTTGGGTATCTGAGCCTTCATAAAAGGAAGATTTAGTCCCCCCCTGCTCTTTCCTGAGTCAAGATCCAGTTAAAAGAGTAATATGTAATGTACACCATACAGTATAAATTAGCAATGTTGTTTCAGCTAGTTTGGATGCCCTCTTGGTGGGTGAGTAAAGGAATTCTGGGAGTTGCAATCCCAAATAGTCTGGCTGAAAAAAAATTGAACCATGTGACCACTAGACCGATATAACTAACCTTTTGGGAACCATCATTCTCCAATCTCCGTGATGGCGAACCTAAAGCACGTATGCCAGAGGTGGCACACACTCCGTCACCAGCCAGAGTGCTGGTCTTTGGGTTTCCAGCATGTATTCTGGTTTGGGCACTTGGTGCCAAAAAGGTTCACCAACACTGTCCAATCCTATTTTCTGCCCAAATCCTAAGAAAGTTAATACAGAAATTCGCTATCTACCCATTAGCTGAGTATGTTAGAAGGCGCTTTTGTTTTTGCAGACTGTGAATGAATGTCCTTTTGAAACTATTTCTTGGCACATAACCAATGGACCCTCAGAGCTCATTCTCATTCATGTCCAGGGAACTGCTAACAGAAATATATGGCTGCCAAGCTCATTAACACTGGCCCTGATTTCTCTGACGTAGATTTCCCTGGAAAAGGGCCATAGTCAACTTGCCATGGGACAACTTGTCACAGGTAACTTGCCATGGGATAAAAGTTGCATAATCACAAAAAAAGGTGAAATGGAATCCTTAAGGAATTATTCATTAAGGAATCATTAAGGGTGCAAAAGGAGGGTCAAAATAAAATGAGAATGACAACAATTAAAATATTTTTAAAATTATTTTAAATAATGAAATGAAATTGTTGAATTGACCTGCAACAAGTTTTTCAGCAGTGAATTGTCCCATGGTGAGATGCCGTGGCAAGCTGGCCACGATGAATTGGCAGCAGGGAGTTGACTGTGGCGAGTTGACCGGTTCTGTTTTGCATTACTTTTGCATAGCTCATAAAGACACAAAGTGTGTGTTCCAGGGGTGGGTTCTGGTAAGTACTACTGCCGGTTCACTCGTGTACACGCTTTGCGCATACATGCACATGCACAATGCAATTAAAATTGTTATGCGCATGCGCAGAACTGAAAAACACGATGGTGGCACTGATGGTGCCACCCCCAGGGAACCAGTTCAGGGGTGTGGCAGGC